TCCCTTCATGACATTTACCTCCCCTAAATACCAGTTGCCTCTCCTAGATAACATTTACCTCCCCTATATCTATTTACTTCTCCTACATGACACTTACCTCCCCTACATTACATATATCTCCACCTACACATATTACTTCCCTACATGACATTTACTTCTCCTACATCACATTTCCCTGCCCTCATCACATTTGCCTCTCCTAGATAACATTTACCTCCCCTATATCTATTTACTTCTCCTACATGACACTTACCTCCCCTACTTTACATATATCTCCACCTACACATATTACTTCCCTACATGACATTTACTTCTCCTACATCATATTTTTTCCCAACTAGACATTTATCTCCTATACATGACATTTAACTTCCCTACATCAAGTTTACCTCTCCTACATCACATCTACCTCGTCTACATCGCAATTAGCACCCCTACATCACATGTAAATCTTACATCATACTTACCTTCCCTAAGGGACATCTACCTCCAGAACATCATATTTACTTCCCCTATATGACACTTACCTCTCCTGTCTCACATTTACCTACCCTATAGGCATTTACCTCCTCTATATCACCTCTTTTACATCACATTTAACTACTCTACACCACAACTATCACCCCTACACAACATTTACCTCCCATACGTATATTCAATTCCCTACATCACGTTTACCTCCCCTACACCACAACTATCGCCCCTACATAAAATTTACCTCCTCTACATCACATTTAATTCCCCTACATCACGTTTACCTCTTCAACATTACATTTACCTACCCTACACCACAACTATCGCCCCTACACAACATTTACCTCCCATACATATATTCAATTCCCTACATCACATTTACCTCCCCCTACACCATAACTATCACCCCTACACAACATTTACCTCCCATACATATATTCAATTCCCTACATCACGTTTACCTCCCCTACATCACATTTACCTCTCCTACATCACATTTATCTTTTCTATATAATATTTACCTCTTCTACTTTGCATTTACCTCCCCTATATCACATTTACCTCCCCTACAACACCTTTACCTGTTCTATATCACAGTTATTTCAGCTACATCACATTTACCTCTCCTATATGACATTTACCTCCCACACCTCCCCTACATCACACTTACTTCCCCTATATCACATTTACCTGCTATACTTCCCCTACACCACATTTACCTCCTCTATATCACATTTACTTTCCCTATATCACATTTATCTCTCCTACATCACATTTACTTCCCATACATGACATTTACCTATCATAGGGGAGGTAAATGTAAGGTAGGGGAGGTAAATGTGTTGTAGAAAAGATAAATGTGAGATATGAGAGGTAAATGGGTTGTAGAAAAGATAAATGTGAAGAGATATACTGAATAAAGGTTTTCACTGGAAGAAATGTTCAACTCCAGACGTGGTACCTTTAAAATATGTACTCACAATTAGTGAGTTTCTAAATAATGCAAGGACGTGAAATCTGTATATTTTTTCAAAACACGTCTCTAACCAATAATGTAAGAGAGGTAAATGTCATTAAGGGGAGGTAAATGCGATATAGGAGAGGTAATTGTGATGTTGGACAGGTAAATATGTAGTATAAATATGATGTAGGGGAGGTACATGGGAGGTAAATTTGATGTAGGAGAGATAAGTGTCATCTAATAACAATACTTTCTTGTTTAAAAGAACTGTTATAAATCACACATGAATAACAATGCTTTCTTGTTTAAAAGAACTGTTATAAATCACACATGAATAACAATGCTTTCTTGTTTAAAAGAACTGTTATAAATCACACATGGATAACAATGCTTTCTTGTTTAAAAGAACTGTTATAAATCACACGTGAATAACAATATTTTCTTGTTTAAAAGAACTGTTATAAATCACACATGGATAACAATGCTTTCTTGTTTAAAAGAACTGTTAT